CATTGTTTCCAAGTCTCAACAAGAATACCTCATCAAGAGGGAGTTTCAGGTACATTTCAAGTTTGTTGATGAATCTGTCCCCAGATAACCTAATTGTAATCTAAGCCCTCAAGCAAATTATTAAGCTATTAGGTGTGTTTTTCTTAATTAGAAAAACAATACAGATGATGTATTATAGAATTGTGCAGCTGAAACCTATATAATTTTATTAACCACTGTCACTCCAATAAATTCAATTTTAAAAATTCCCTTTTTAAAAAAACTTGGTCAGTTTTGCTCAGTGGACAGAGTTTTGGCCCGTGGACAGAGGGTCTTGGGTTTGATTCCTGGTCAAGGGCACGTACTTTAGTTGTAGGCTCAATCCCTGGCCCCTACTTGGGGGCATGTGTAGGAGGCAGCCAGTCAGTATGTTTCTCTCACATTGATGTTTCTCTCAGCTGCCTTGTGGGATTATTAACCAAACTGAATAGAAAACTACTTATTATTCTTCATTCCTTTTCTTCTTTTCGTCGTATCATTTTTCTCTTCTAATTTATTCACTTAAAAAGTAGTTCAAAAGGCTGCTATGTGTAGATGCTGAGAATTCAACCATAAACAAAACTGACAAAAATCCTTCCCTTGCCATGAGGCTTATTCTCATGGGAGGAGATAGGCAAAAAAATAAACAAGTAAATTCTACAGTATATTGAGAAATTATGTATTATGTGGGAAAGTAAAACAAGGAAGGATGATAGCAGTGTTGGCTTGATGTAGTTTTCCTGGTTAGGGAATACAGAAAGTCACTGAGAAAATGCCATTTGGGCAAATATTTAAAGGTGATGAGAGAGGTAAACCATAAGACTATATGGGAAAAGAATGTTTCAAGCAGAGTGAGCAGGGAGCTTAAAGGACCTGGAGGCAGGGAGTAGGCCAGATGTATTGTAGGTCTTGTAGCAGCAAGGTGGCCAAAATGGCTGGAATGATGACCAGGATAGGGAATTGGAGACATAATGTGGGGATAGATTATTTAGAATTTACAGGCCATTGTAAGGACTTTGATCTTTGCTCTGAGTAAGGAGGGGAGCCATTACTGGAGGGATTTAAGCAGTGGAATAATATGATCATATTTCTATTTTAAAAGGATCAAGATCACACTTCTGAGTTGAGATTAGACTGAAGTGAGGCAAACAAAGGTAGAAACAGGGAAACCAGTTAGAAGGCTACTACAGTAATTCAAGCAAAAGATGAGTATGACTCAGACCAGGAGGCAATGGTAAGTAGTAGTTGGAGTCTATATTTTTAAAATTTTGTATAAAAGCTTTTTATGGCTTCTTGTTAGCCACAGAATAAAGGCTGAAACTTTTAAGTCCTACCAGAATTTGTCATCTGGCAAAGATTCTCCCACTGTTCTTCCACCCAAACCTTCCTGGTCAAATAAAGAAATAGATAGTGGTTAAGAATGTAGATTCTGGAGCCAAACTGTCTGTATTTAAATCCCAGCTTTTCCACTTATTAGCTGTGAATAGGGACAATTCATTTAATTTTATCTCTTAAATGGAGATAATAATAGTACTAGGGTTGTAAGGAGATCAGTTAAAATTTGTATCATTTTTAGAACAGTGCCTAGTATACAGAAAGGGATACTTAAGTTTTTGTTAAATAAATTTAAAATTCTACCCTAAATTTCTCCCTCCTCCAAAACAAAAGACAATCATTGCACAGGCCTATTCAGCACCTTTGCTCAAGACTTGTTCTCACTGGAGTGCTCTTTCCCTTCCTTCTTGCCTATGAAAATTTAACTTCTTCATTAAACATTTAGCCAATATTAATTGAGCGCCTATCAGACACTGAATCAGTCATTGAGGACATGGCAGTAAACAAGACAGAATCCTAGCCTGCAGGGAGTTTATACTCTCTAATGGAGGGTGCAGACCAATACACTGTAGTGTGGTAAGTGTTGACTGGTAAGTTCAGGGTTCACTAAAGGCCTAGTCTTGTGGTCAGGGGAAGCTTCATCAAAGATGTGAGATGTCAGCCAAGACTTGAAGAAAGTGAAGGGATTAGCCTATTGAAATGGATGACAAGACGAGGGAAGGGGTTGAGGCTCAAAGATGAGAACAAAGTTTTGTTCATCAAACTGGAGCTTCAAGGGAGAGAGTGGCCAAAGTTGAGGCTGAACAGGTAAGCAAGAACTACGGTATAAGAGGGTTTGAAAAACATTCAGGATGGCCTTCTCAGAAGTTCATAGGCATCTTCCCAGATTACCTCAACCAACTTTTCTCATTTCTTCTAACTTTCTTAGTGCTCTGGCTAAAGGAGGGTTTGCATTGGGGGAAAGTGGCAGTAACATCGTTGGAGATTATTTGTTTTGGGCAGAAGTAGAAATGAGATGGAGGGTCAGAATCGGACATGGATTAAATTTAAAATTTTGGATGTTTTCCTGTGGATGAGTGGAAAACACTAAAGACTATTCAGAGGGATTACAGAAAAGGCAAATTCTGAAAGACAGGGAATTATAATTCATTAAAGATAAAATTTGATTTTGAAGGGAAAGAGATGAGACTAGAACAGGATGTAAGATCCAGATCATAAATGGAGTCTAAGGTATTTGGGCATTTTCAGTAATACCTTAGGTATTTGGAGCCTAAGGTATTTGGGCATTTTCAGCAATTGGAAATCATTGGCAGATTTGATATCAGAAATAACTGGACAGTTTTGCATATTAGAAGATGAATTTAGCAATTCATTGTAGAGAATAAACTTTGGGTGGTCAAATCTAGAAGCAAAATAACCAGTTAGGAGGCTATTGAAGTAGTAGTCCAGGTGAAAGGTGATGAGCCCAACAAAGAGCTATGGTAGATAGAGAAGGAGAAGATGGATAAATTTGATATTATTGGAGACAAAATTGGCTAGACTTAGAGATTTAACAATTGGGGGCTGAAGGGTAGGGAGGAGGAGGAGGAGGCAAAAAATTGATTGCTGCCCTAACTGGTTTGACTTAGTGGATAGAGCGTCAGCCTGTGGACAGAAGTATCCCAGGTTCGATTCTGGTCAAGGGCATATACCTTGGTTGCAGGCACATCCCCAGTGGTGGGTGTGCAGGAGGCAGCTGATCGATGTTTCTCTCTCATCAATGTTTCTAACTCTCTATCCCTCTCCCTTCCTCTCTGTGAAAAATCAATAAAACATGTTTTAAAAAATTGATTACTAAAATTCTGGCTAAATACAGGAGGAGTAATAGATGGAAGAGGAGGAAGATTAATATTAGTAAAATATTGAAAAATCAAGTTCAAGGTGCCTCTGAGACTTAGCATTGATTGAGAAAGGGAAATCTGGGCTTGAAAAGTATGGATATGGGAGTCATGGATACATAGGTGGTAGTAGTTAAAGGCATGGAAGTGGATGATTATGCTGGTAGCATTCCATTTTCTGTGTAATAAGCACTCTCAATGCTTTATACACATTGTTTTGTTTGTTTTTAAAATGTTTTTGTTTAGAGAGCAAGGAAGGGGAGAGAGAGAAACATCGATTGGTTACCTCCTGAATGCACCTGACTGAGGATTAAACCCTCAGCCTTTTGGTATATGGAATGAAGCTCCAACCAACCGAGCCACCTGTCCATATACCTTGATTTATTTAATTCTTATAACAACCTGTGAAGTTGTCATTCTATAAGTGTGGAGTTAATAGAAGTTAAAGTGAAGACATTCCTGATTCTGAAAGACCTTACCTGACTCAGGTTAAGTTGATCTGGATGAGTTTAAATGTGGATAACTTTTTTTTGAGAGAACATAATTTCCATCTGATGATTTATGCTTTCTCTGTGAAATAGCATATAAGTTTTATCTCCTGAGAGTGAGAAAGGAATGTGGTAACATCGAGGGCTTGACAAGAATGGCAGAAATTTGAAATAGCTTTTACAATAAAGGAGGGGAAATGCTGATTAAGACATGTGGAAGGACTGTAGCGTTGAGGGCCCAGCTGAAGAAGTTTGAATTTATATGGTTTCAATTTTCACGGTGATAGGATTTTTCTTCAACAGAACACAGGAGTGGAAATAAAGTTGTGGTGAAGGCATTCTTCAGTTCGATCCAGATTTAAGATTTTGTTGAGTGCATATGCTAGAAAGGCTAAATTTTAGGCAGGTAGGGGAACGATGATGAAGGTTTTGATAAAAGTTATTTTAATAATGGGTCAGAAACTCTGGAATTGATGGAGAAAGAATATGAATACTGGAAGAGGCTGTAGAGAAAAAGAACTGAGATTCTGATGAAAGTGAAGAACAAAAGAGTGGTTCTGGGAGGATACTGAATTTGAGATCAAGAAATTGGGGAACTAGAAAATATGATGGATCATCCACGTGGATATTAAAATTGTCCAGGATAACAATGAAATTTGGGGTGACATTGCTTAAGAGTCCAGATAGTAAGTTGATTGGGCCTTTGAAAAAGGTTGACTCAGGTGCATTTTATGGGATCATTTACTCATTTCCCAGGTCCTTCGCTTGGTGATGCAAGTAGCAGCAGAACCTCTTTTCCAGCAGATGGGAGGACTTATATGAATCTGAGTGGTATCTGGACTGGTTGATGAAAGGAGTCTACTATTATAAGGAATTTGCCTGAGGTCCATTCTGATTGGATTCTAGAAAAGCCCATCCTCTTTCCAGTAAACCTGGTGTTTTTGCAACAAGTTGAGCTGCTTCTACTAAATTTTTTATCTTTTCAAATGTTTGGGAGAGCGGTTTTTTTTTTGTTTTTGTTTTTTTAATTTTAGCTTCTCCAGAGTTAATGAGTTTTTTAGTGGCAAGCATCTATAAAGAATTCTACTCAAGGAGTAGCTTGAACAAAAACTTAACCTGATGCAGTCAAGGTTTTTAGATACTAGGTTCAGATGGTTGGTCATATTAGTTCATTTGTTCATCCATCCATCTAATAGCAGCTTAAGAAGACTGTATTTGGAAAAAATTGAACTAAGTATAAACGGACTAATTTGGTTTTATTTATACTTTTTATCATCTCTAGCTGCCTATCCCCACCGTTTGAATCTCTTTTACCTTGCCAATGATGTCATCCAGAACTGTAAAAGGAAAAACGCAATCATATTCCGTGAATCATTTGCTGATGTACTTCCTGAAGCTGCTGCTCTAGTAAAGTAAGTAAATTCTTACTGGTCTTTGGGATCTAAGCTTAGATAATGTAGAATTTTAGGTTCAATTTTTACCCATTACTAAGAATGTAATAGTTGTACATGCTTAAGGATCCAAGAATATTTTGCCTAAGTTATTCGTTGTAACTTTCCTGCTAATGTACGCATTTTTTTATTTCAAAAACTCTTTGTTCCCTTTTTGAAAGTTTGTTATGTACAGTCTGCCTCTTCTGGCCTAACTTACCATGTGTATCTCCTGGTCATATTTTCTGGCTACTTCTTTCCAATTGCTTCTTATGTTTTTGTGGAAGTTTTTATACACTTGCCTATTTTTTTTAAGAGTCTTTCTGAAATGTTATTCCCTTCATGAAATGTGTGTAATTAAAGGGGAATGGAGATATTTATTCCCAACTCCATACTGATTTATTCCATTCTTAGCAAAATTATATCTAGCATTTTCCAAAATGCTAGAACACATACCTGATCTTATTTTTGCCCTGTACTAATTGTTTTCCTTGTGTTTTATCCATATTTGTAAGTTGTTTGGTACAACACACACACACACACACACACACACACACACACACACAACTGGAGGGAAAATAATAATATGGAACAATCAAAATAGCTAAATATTTCCTCAAATTATATATTTATTAGCTTAATATATTTGTATAAATATATTAATACTAGAGGCCTGGTGCCTGAAATTCATGCACGGATGGGGGAAATCCCGTCAGCCTAGCCTGCACCCTCTAATCTGGGGCATCCCTCTCACAATCTTAGACCACTGGCTCCTAACTGCTCGCCTGCTGTCTGGTTGCCTCCAACTGCCCTTCGCCTGCCTTGTCACCCCTCATTGCTCTCCTCTGCCAGCCTGGTCACCCCTCATTGCCCCCCCTACCCCTCTGCCAGCCTGGTTTCCCCAACTACCTCCCCTGTGGACCTGGTTACTCCTGCAGCCTGTTCGGTTGTCCATTCAGTTGTGATGGTTGCTTAGGCTTTATATGTATAGATAATATACTACTGATCCATTTGTTAGTATTAACCCCATCATAACTAAATGATTCTTGTTTCTTCCTTTAGACTATTAACTTGAGATACCTACTTTGGTTTTTACAAAAGTTCAAAGTATGGCCTTGTCTGAATGTACTAAGTGATAAAGAATTATACACATGTCAGGAATACATAAAATAACAATTGCACCTAACATTTATTGAACACTTGAAATTGACCAGATATTTTACAAAGTGCTATGTGTGTTTTAAGTCATTTAATCCCGAGGACAACTTTATAAAGTAGCTGCTACACTATTCCATTTTAAGGAGGAGGAAACTGGCTTGGAGATTAAATAACTCCTAAATTCTCCCAGCTCCCTGGGTGGAGGGGAAGTGTCCTGTAGAATTCCCACCCAAGCCTGTCTAGACAAGCCCATGCTCTCTGCCATTTACCCACTAGTGTGTGCTGCTACTTTACATACATAAACACAGTAATTTTAAGTAAGAAAAAAATATGCCAGATGATCCCCTCTAAGAGCTTCTGCTGTAAATGTCACTGTAGTCTTTTTAAAATTTAACCTAGTCTTCCCTAGACTTAGGATTTCATGACCTAATTCATGGTTGTCAGCTTTTATTTATTTTTATTTTATTTTATTTTTTTTAAAGATTGAACATTTTATTTATTTATTTATTTATTTATTTAATATATTTCATTGATTTTTTTACAGAGAGGAAGGGAGGGAGATAGAGAGCTAGAAACATCGACCAGCTGCTTCTTTCACACCCCTTAAAGGGGATGTGCCCGCAAGCAATGTACATGCCCTTGACCGGAATCGAACCTGGGACCTTTCAGTCTGCAGACCAACGCTCTACCACTGAGCCAAACCGGTTTCGGTGTGTCAGCTTTTATTTTACAATGTGAAGATATTTTTTAAAACAACTACTTTGTATTTCTATTACTATTTCACAGTAAAAGATGGGAAGGACTTAATCTCAAAATAAAGTACAGTCTTTTAAATTAAAATTTTAAGCTTTGAAAATGTTCTTAACTCAGTGAAGGGTATCTTCAAAAACTTCTAGTAAATATTAGACTTAATGATAAAATAATAAAAGCATTCCAAGATGGGTGACTTCTATTATCATACTATTCCCTTTTTTATTGGATATGCCATTCATTTCTAAATAAATAAGAAGAATGCATTTAGAAGAGACAGAATTGTCATTATTTGCATATGATATGATTACCCACAAGGGGTGGGCAACCTTTTTCTTTAAAGAATCTGGTAGTAAGCGTTTTAGGATTTGCAGACCATAGATCTCTGTCCCAAGAATTCAACTTTGCCATTCTTGCATGAAAGCAGCCATAGACAATACATAAATGGGATGGCTGTATTCCAATAAAGTTTTATTACAGAAATAGGCAGCAGGCCAGATTTGGCTCAAGTTTGGTAGTTTGCCAGCCTGTGGCCTAGTTAGAATCACATAATGAGAGAGTTCAGTTAAGTAGCCAGATTCAAGTTCAACATAAAAAAGCAGCACCTTTCCTCTACTGTGTATGTTAGCAGTAACTGATTTAAAAATTTTAAGTTCCAGGCAGATAACATAGATGAGTGAAGTGAGTTGAATGTGAGGAGTATCCATCAAAAAGGGACAGCAGCTACCTTGCCCCTTAGCCCATGGCTAAAAAGGATTATGAGCCCAGTGTTAAAAACACTGCCAGACCTTGCAAAGACTTATTTCACTCTTTAAACTTAGTTAGAATCAGTTTTTTTATGAAGTCCCCCATTTTTAAAATGTGTAAAACTGCTGAAACCGGTTTGGCTCAGCGGTAGAGCGTCGGTCTGCGGACTGAAAGGTCCCGGTTCGGTTCCGGTCAGGGGCATGTACGTTGGTTGCGGGCACATCCCCGGTAGGTGTTTCTCATCGACATTTCTAGCTCTCTATCTCCCTCCCTTCCTCTCTGTAAAAAATCAATAAAAATATTTTTTAAAATAAAATAAAATGTGTAAAACTAAATCACATTAAAAAAATATTGTTAGCCAAATAAAACAATCTGATGATTAATTTGAGCCATGGGCAACTTATTAGTGACCTCTATAATAGGCATTATTTTATTCTTTTAGAACCTTTAAGGAGTTACTTGATTTCACTTGATTTGTTGCTATGTGGTGCCGAGACCGGTTTGGCTCAGTGGATAGAGCGTTGGCCTCCGGATTGAAAGGTCCCAGGTTCGATTTCGGTCAAAGGCATGTACCTTGGTTGCGGGCACATCCCCAGTAGGGGGTGTGCAAGAGGCAGCTGATTGATGATTCTCTCTCATCGATGCTTCTAACTCTATCCTTTTCCCTTCCTCTCTGCAAAAAATCAGTAAAATATATTTTTTAAAAATAAAATAAAATAAAAAGTTGCTATGTGGTGAACTCGCTGGCATATATTATAGGAGATGGCCAGAGGGAAAACTAGTTCTTTTAGATGAGTTAGAGAACTTTTTCTTTCCAGATAACAATCTAATTATTCCAGCTCCTTTTTATTATATTTCAGTTTATCCTTCCCTCACTGGTTTGAAATTTCATAGTTGAGAATCTGGATGTGCTAGTTATTATTGTAATAAAAATATTTATGTGAGCCCTAGCTGGTCTGACTCGGTTGGAGTGTTGTCCCATACGCCGAAAGGTTGCGGGTTCAATTCCAAGTGGGCACATACCCAGGTGCAGGTTTGATCCCAGGTTAGTGGTGCTATAGGAGGCAACTATAGTGGTGTTTCTCTCACTTTCCCTTCCTCTTTCTAAAAATGTGTGTGTGTGTGTGTGTGTGTGTGTGTGTGTGTGTGTGTGAAAAGAGGGGTAGGGGAGGCAGAGAGGCATAAATGAAGGTAACCTGATGATATTTATTTTCTATTTGTATCCTAGAGATCCTAGCTAAGGGACAAAAATGCCAATTCATCTGTATGTATACATCATTGTGAGAACAGAATAGTTGAAATGTCAGTTTGAAGCACAGGGAAAGTGTCTTTATGAATGTCAGAGTTGAGTTACCACTTGGGAAACTAGGGATTATTCTTCCACTTCAGTAAGTTTTTTATTTTATTTTTTCACCAGTAAGTTTTATACACATGTTATATAGGTTGTAGAAGACTCTCTATAACTGAAGGTTTGCTTGTATTATATCAGAACTTTCCTAATGCCTGTTTCTATCACAGGTTTATCACAGATTTTCAGAAAAGGCAGTCATTTTTGCTTTTAAATTCTCTTTCATTGAATTGAAAAGTGCATTTATGCTGATTATTATTATCAGAGCTTAATGAGTTTTGTTTGTTTATGCGTTTTTACTTTGATAGTATAAAGATGTATGTCTGACCTTTATTGGGAAAAGATACCATGGCAGAGTTTGAGGAAAAGATGAGCTTGGTACTCTGAAATAAACCCAACTTAAGAGTTTCTGATGACTTCATGACTAGTTGTTGGTTAGTGGAGAAAGTCTTGAAACCTTTTGGAGTTTGAATTTTGGCAGTGTGTGTGTGTGTCTTGTACCAAAAACAAGGCACAGAGTGGGAGAAAATATTGCAGTGCAGTCAACAATGGGATCATAAAGAATTACAAAATAGGAAGAAAAAGGCCAAAAAAATAAATAAATAAGAGTTTACCTGGCACTTACTATACTAGCAATTAAAACAGAAATTGTTTAAATATCTATTAATTACTTTAAAATGTATATTTTTTATTGATCTCAGAAAGAAAGGGAGAGGGAGAGATAGAAACATCAATGATGAGAGAGAATCATTGATTGGCTGCCTCCTGCATGCCCCCTTCTGGGAATTGAGCGCACAACCCAAGACAAAGGGGACATCTGTAATACTTTCGACAATAAAAATAAATTTAAAAAAACAACAACACACACACACAATAAAAACATCCTCGGGTGAGTATTAAACAAAAATTGTTAAGTAGGTAAAAGGTAGTTACTAACTACTGGAAAAGAATAAAAGAACTCTAAGGTACTGGGACTGCTTCTGGACCTGAGGGAAAGTAATTGAGGAGCCCCAGCTGAGACTCAGACCTGAGGAAAGAGGGAATTGCTACCTGCACATGCTGCTTGCCACCGTATTGGCTCAGAAACAGGGTGGAGTGCACTCAGCAATCCTCCACCAAGACTCCCGCATGCTGCTTTATCCACGTAAGAACAGAAAGAACACCAAAAAATTCCTACCGCCAATCCCAGCCTCAGTGTCACTCTAGGGCCCTCTATTGGCAGAGTCTCACAAAGAGCCAAGGGTTCACTCTGGCTCCAGTAGCACCAAGAAGGATGGCTTAGAGCAGAGAGGCAATAAATTAGTATCTGGCACATACATTTTAAAGTTCACCAATACCAAAATTAGCAAGATTGTGGCACAATGGGCACTCTCATGCACTGTTGGTTGGAGGGTTGGATGGTATAAAACAACCTCTTTTTAATAAGTTTGTTATAGCCCTGGCCGGTTTGGCTCAGTGGATAAAGCATGGGCCTGCGGACTGAAGGGTCCCAGGTTCAGTTCTGGTCAAGGGCACACGCCCCAGTTGCGGGCTCGATCCCCCAGTGTGGGGCATGCAGGAGGCAGCCGATCAATGATTCTCTCTCATTGATGTTTCTCTCTCTCTCCCTCTCCCTTCCTCTCTGGAATTAATATTTTTTAAATACCCATACCTTTAAAAAAAATAAAAATAAAAGTTTGTTATGTACACTCTATGATCTTGGGATTTTATCCCAAGTCTTTTACAAAGCCCTGAGAAACTTTTGTATATGTGCAGCAATTTGATGGAAGAGAATTTTTATAGCAAAAGTATTTGTGGTAATGAAAATTTGGAAACAGCCCAGATATATATTGCAAACTTATTTAAGCCTTGGGGTATTAAATAAAATTTGGAAAACAACCCAGTAATTATATATTACAAACTTAAAGACAAGTGACACAAAGGGAAGATATTTGTTATAAGTAAATAAAAAAGATAAGTTATAAAATGGTCATTATTTTAAGAGATACAGAGTAACAAGTTTTTAGAGATAAAATTTATCTCTAACTTCTGAATTTTAAATTATTTTTTAAGCTTCACTTGATACTCTTCCTATTGATTTTTAGAGAGAGAGGACAGGGTGGTGAAGAAAGAAAGATAGATTGATGTGGAAGAGACACATCAATTGTTTGGCAAGAATCTCAACCATGGCTGAGGACGAACCTGCTACCCTTAACTGGGAATTGAACCTGTGACCCTCTCTCTGGTCCACGGGCCAAGTTCTAACCACGATACACACTGGCTAGCGCTACTTTTTGAGTTTTTTTTTAAAGTATTACTAAGCCTTGTCTTATTCTGTACTTATCAATTGATTTTTTTAGACTAGATTCTTTATTAGATTTTATCTTATTAGAGTCAGTCTGTCTTTTGAGATGCTAGTTGTGTCAATGCATACCCTGAGTGGCCCTCTCAACTTCATATCCATCAATTAGTTCAGTGTGTTGTCCATGGCCTCAATTCTGTCATTCATAGAACTGAGTAAGAGTGCTTAAGATTTTAGTCCTAGACATGTAGAAAAAAGTTTAAAAATAAACACCAAAAGACTTTTGGAAAATAATTTTGTTGATAACTTTAATTTTAGATCTATAGTTTGAGATATATTAACATTTTTATCTAACTTTTTCTTTCTCTTTAGGGATCCATCTGTCTCTAAATCTATAGAACGAATCTTTAAAATCTGGGAGGAGAGAAATGTTTACCCAGAAGAAATGATTACGGCATTAAGAGAAGCTTTAAGTAAGTGTCTTTTCTCTCCTGGAAGGAAATTTGAGTCATTGTTCACATTTTAAAATTGCATATATTTTGTAGATCTGGTCCTATTGCTTAATAGTGAAATAGAAAGTTTTGGATCTGACCTTGTTTGTTTAAAATTAAATACTTATAAAATACGAATTAAAATTTAAGTAGAATTGGTTTGGAGAGGGTTGAATTTTATTTTTATTGACTGAAGAAAGTCAAGCATATTAAGTGATGATGGTCATTTAATTATTCCATTTGCTTTATATCAAGTGTTTAAACTAAAGTTTACTTTTTGTGCTTAAGTTGGAGAATTTTTGGACTGGATTTCAGTTTTCACTAAGTATTTGATATTAAGCATATATTGACATTCTTTAGTCTCTATTTTGGTTTAGAATCAGGCGTCTTCAAACTACGGCCCGTGGGCCACATGCGGCCCACAGAGGAGTCTGATCCGGCCCGCCAGGTTTTTTGGGCAGTGAGCGCAGCCGAGGTGTTACAGTAGGAATTAGTAGTTCATATAGTCCGGCCCTCCAGCTCTCTGAGGGACCGTGATCTGGCCCCCACTTTAAAAAGTTTGAGGACCCCTGGTTAGATTTACAGTAAGTGGTATGCCTGTTTTTTTAAAAATTATTTAGTTCCTATATGTTAGATGCATGTAAATTCATGGAATAAAAGATGGTGATATCTTAAATCATGACTATTATTGACTAGAAACTTGCTTTACAAATAGCAACCTCTAAGAAGCTGTTAAATTCTTCATTGGAATGTGTTAACTGGTATTTTAAAGCTTCCTATCCTATTCTCAACATCAGTCATTTCATTGACAGTAAAAATTATGTTTATTTGACAGCTTCTTAGAGATCTGATTGGTGTTTTATTTATTTTTTAAATAAAAATGAAAGAAAAGGAAAGAAAGAAACAACACACAGTCTCGGATTGCCTTTTTTCGTGCTACAACTTTGACCCTGAAGTGGACAGACAGACAGCTTCCCATAATGCCAGGTTGCAAAAACTGAAATGTTTTCCAGGTACCACTTTCAAAACTCAGAAGCAGCTGAAAGAAAATCTGAACAAACAACCGAATAAGCAGTGGAAGAAATCACAAAGTAAGGAACAAAATCTCAACTAATATAAAATTAACTCCTCTTTTTGGAGCAGAAGAAAATGTAGACCATTTGACATCATACCTCGCATAAACTATGGGCAAGCCTGTGTTTTCCAGGCCTGGGAGGCTCCCAGTGACATACACTAAACAAGCCATCATGGAGTTACTTCTTAAAAACAAAAAACAAAAACTACTTTTAAACAAAGAAAATGCAGGAAGAGAGTTTAAATGAGTGAAGATTCAAGAGTAGTTGAGGGATTAAAAGAAGAAAATAAATACTTGATAGTGCCAGGCTAACACTAAGGTTCAAAGATACATGAAGTTAGAGGCAGCTGGCATTAAACAACAGAGCTGAAGAGGAGACTAGGCATTAAGAAGCATGTCTGTGGGAGCCATGAAATCCTTCAGATTTGGGGATGCACTCTACCAGATTAGACATGGGCCTCAGATCAGGCCAGAAGCTTCTTCTCTAACAGGAGCTCCTGCTATGTTTATCATGTTTACCCAGCATGAGATCAAGGGAGTGGATACTGCATGTGATAGGCTGCTGTGGGCCAAACAGGAATGTTGACCTGAAGGTGTGGAGGGAACAAGGTAAAAGACAGTGAGAATTGGGAGGTGAATCAAGACACTTGGGATGGTTTTGCTTCAGCAAGCATTTGATAATCATCATGATTAAGGGAGTCCTCTATCTTCCTTTTGGGCATAAGTTGCATGCTTAGGAACAACAGGAGTCATCATTTCAGCCAAAGTTCCACCACAGTGGGAATGTACTTAGAACTCTCTTTGCCTGTTTTTGCTATGAACTGAGTCACCAGAAAAAGAAACCTAAAGCTAAATACATAGGAATAGAGTTGATGTTTGTAAATAATTTTCTTCAGCCGGTGCTCAGAATTAATTGGATGTCCTGCTCCTTAACACTCTTATTTTGAAGTATTGAGATCCTCTTACACTCAGTCAGACTAGGAAAAAAGGTACTTCATGTATCTCAGGATCTCCAAATCAATAATTCTAGGACTTTATGACTTAAAGGGCCTATTGGAGGTAAGTCACATGTTTTTATATTGACCATGCTTGGGAAGGTTTAAATTTCATATTCCATTATTCTAGATATTATTATTTAAATGTGCATGTTTGACATATGTTCAAAAGTACACCCTTAACTATAAGAGCTAAAATTTTTCTGAATATTAGTCAATAGTTTCTGTCTGTATTCTTAATGATGTTTTGTTTCATTCCAACAGCATCCACGAATCCAAAAGCTGCTCTCAAATCTAAGATAGTTGCTGAATTTCGAGTAAGTTACAGGATATGTTGAACATGGCCAAAGCATTATTCACCCTTTTTGTGTTATAGCTTCCTGTATAGTCCAGAAAGATTTATTTTTATTCAGTTTGTACATCAATTATATCTTAAGTTCTAAGGGAATCCAGATTGGGATCAGATTACTTGAAGTTTTATCTGTTTCCCTATTGGAAAAAATAACCTTACAGAAAAATCTGTTACAGGCTTAGTTCTGAATCCCCCAACTTGCGGTTCATCTTTCTTTGAAGCTCTACTAAATTAGAATTTGTGTAGAGTTAGAATAATAAGTCTATGTTTATCTAATTAAAATTTAAAGATATGTTTCTTTTTAACTCTATACCCATAAATTAACTTTGAATAACCAAGGAAAATGATTTTTTTTTTTTTAATTCTTCACCTAAGGATATGTTTTTATTGATTTTAGAGAGAGAAGAAGGGAAAGAGAGAAACATTGATCAGTTACTTCCTGCAACTTATTTATGTACCCTGACTGGGAATCAAACCCACAACCCTTTTGGTGTATGGGACAATGCTCCAACCAACTGAGCCACCCAGTCAGGGCAGGAAAGGATCTTTTTAAAGTGTAAGACTAAAAAGAATATTTTGACATGAGAATTGATATTGATATCCCTGATCATGAGGAAATGTGAAGGGTTTTTCCCTCATGGGGTTTTAATAGGTTTTAGTGGGGAAAGATAAATAAGTCAGTGGTCTTGTGAATGAAATTTGACTTTGCTCTGTGTTCAGTCTCAGGCCCTCATTGAAGAGCTGTTGCTATACAAGCGCTCAGAAGATCAGATTGAATTGAAGGAAAAACAGCTGTCAACTATGCGTGTGGATGTGTGTAGCACAGAAACTCTCAAATGCTTAAAAGGTAATAACATTCTTTGAACAAGAATAACTTAGATTTTCTTCCCAGATCTGTCATTTTCAAGTGGTAAGACTGGCTTTTTACATAAAAAGAACTCTTAGCCGAAACAGGTTTGGCTCAGTGGATAAAGCGTCGGCCTGAGGACTGAAGGGTCCTGGGTTCGATTCCAGGCAAGGGCATGTACCTTGATTGCAGGCATATCCCCAGTGGGGGGTGTGCAAGAGGCAGCTGATTGATGACTCTCTCTCACCAATGTTTCTAACTCTCTCTCTTTCTCCCTTCCTCTCTGTAAAAAAATCAATAAAATATATATTTAAAAAAAAAGAGAGAGAGAGAGAACCCTTAGTTGGTTGTAGAGAACAGTTGTGCCAGCTCTGGTTTCCCAGGTAGTGATTATATGCATATACATTTCATAAGTAAATTTCTGTCCTTCACCTGTGCACATTAAATTCATACAGTATTATATGTCAATTGTATCTCAAGAAAGCTGGAGAAAAATAAGTTTAAAAACCCAAAGAAATAAATTCTGTCATTTTCCCCACTTCTGGTGCTTTCTTGATATATTAGGTTATATATAGGCAGGTATATTTCATATTGTGTGATTAACTGGTTTGGGTATGCTCTTTAATACGGCCACTGTAATGCCTCATAAAATCTAGTTAGTTGCTCTTTTTTCCTTACATTGTAAATTATAAATAATAGTTTTTATTTTGTTTTTGTGTGTTAATCCTCACCTGAGGATATTTTTCCATTGCTTTTCAGAGTGGAAGGGAAGGGGGAAGAGAGCGAGAAAACAAAAACAAAACATTGATGTGTGTGAGAGAGATACGTAGACTGGTTGCCTCCTACATGGGCCCCAGTGGGGGGTGGTGAGCAAACCCGCAACCCGGATATGCGTCCTGGAACCCGTGACCCTTAGGTGCTTGGGCTGACGCTCTAACCACTGAGCAACCACCCAGGTAATAAATAATATTAATGCTTTATCATAAAATAAATCTCATGGTGGTAGAAACTATCCTTTGTACTTTAAATATATACGTGTGTGTGTGTGTGTGTGTGTGTGTGTGTGTGTTGTTGTTGTTGACTTCAGAGAAAGGAAGGGAGAGGGTGAGAAATAGATAGAAACATCAGTAATGAGAAAGAATAATCTATGGGCTGCCTTCTGCATGCCTCCACCTTAGGATAGAGCCTGTGTCCTGACCAGGAATCAAACCGTGACCTCCTGGTTCATAGGTCAACGTTCAATCACTGAGTCACACTGAGTGAAATTATCCTTATTTGTTCACTGCTGTATCTAGCCTAGAGCGATGCTTGGTACATAATAGGCATTTAATAAATATTTTTGAAGAATGAGTAAATGGCTACTAGATATTCATTTGGCCTTTATTTTGTTATTGTACCATGCTTTAAATTTTAACATGTTAGCTTTGCACAGTGGCAGTATCATAGCCAATGGGGTTTATCCGAGGCACGATTATTGGTAATTGAATAAATAAATTTAACATGTTAATGAATTTAATCCTCACAACAACTCAGAAGTATATTAAAAAATTCCATTTTATAAGTGAGAAATTTAAGACTTCATAAGGAGATGAGTAGCTTGCCTAAGTTACACAGCTGATGAGAGACAAAGCCAAAATTTGTGCCCGTTTAAAGTCATATTCCTATAGTCATGGGGAAAGAAGTATACTTAGAAGTGTAGGTAACAGTTTGTAATGTCACTATTAGTGTGTGTGTGTGTGTGTTTAATCCTCACCTGAGAATATTTTTTCCATTGACTGTTTTTTAGAGAGAATGAAAGGGAGGGAGGGGAGGAGGAAAGAAAAGAGGGAGGGAGGGAGGGGGGGGGGGGGGAGAGGGAGAGGGAGAGAGAGAGAGAGAGAGAGAGAGAGAGAGAGAGAGAGACATCGGCGTGAGAGAGACGCATCGATTGGTTGCCTTCTACACATGCTCCAGCTGGACCAGGGATCATCTACAACCCGGTTATGTGTCCAAGGCTGGGAATCAAACCTGAGACTCTTTGGTGCTCAAGTCAATGCTCTAAGCAGCCAGGTCCATAATGTCACTACTGGTGCAAAAATAATTGAGGGTTTGTACTCTTCTGATATGAAATTATTAGAGATCTTCAAAGAGGAAAAAAGAATTTTTAGTGTGATTCAGTCACTTTATCTTTACTTTTTTGAACCTTACTTTTTTCATGTATCCTAGAGGATTAAAAATTAATGGTCTAAGTCAGGGGTGAGGAACATTTAGCACAAGAAATCATTTGATCTGCCATTGCCAAGGCATTAGTGGTGAGTTCATTAAATGTTTGACCAAATATAGCAAGCTAATTTTTAAAGTTGGTAATTGTGTATGGCCCGTAAATGATATCAATATCCATATGGCCCTTGGCAGAAAAAAGGTTCTCCACCCCTGGTCTAAGTAAACAGAATCAAGCCTCATTCCATTATTCCAAAGTAGTAGAATGGCAACAAATTTATAAAGAAAATTAATGAACTTCCTTTTAGTTGGACTTTCTTTTGTTTACTGTAATTATTGGTACCTTCATGATGCACTATTGCTTTTAACTCTAGCAGATTCACATGAATTGTTTCAATAATCTGTTTTTGTGATTTGGAGAAACTTTCTTTTTAAATATATATTTTATTGATTTTCCACAGAGAGAAAGGGAGAAGGATAGAGAGCTAGAAACGTCGATGAGAGAGAAACATCGACTAGCTGCCTCTTGCACACCCCCCACCGGGGATGTTCCCGCAACCAATGTACATGCCCTTGACTGGAATCGAACCCGGGACCCTTCAGTCTGCAGACCGACGCTCTACCACTGAGCCAGACCGGTTTCGGCTGGAGAAACTTATTAAATGTGAAACTATGAGACTAAGAATATTACATATTAAGGCAGTAAGAATAGGTTCACTGATCATCTGGAGGGAGTTTTCTTTGAAAAATTTGTTTACTTTTTCTTTTTTATCTTGAAATGAATACTTCCTCTGTTATGTTAGATAAGACCGGTGGGAAGAAGTTCTCCAAAGAATTTGAGGAGGCAAGCGCCAAGCTGGAGGAATTTGTGAATGGATTAGATAAGCAGGTGAAAAGTGGGCCCTCACTCACAGAAGCACTGGAAAATGCTGGAATTTTCTATGAAGCACAATACAAAGAAGTAAAAGTGGTGGCCAATGTAAGTAGTAATTAGAGCTATCATATTGATTGGTTACTATGTATCAGTGTCTGTTTTACATATGTTACCTAACTCAATGAGGATAAACATTATCTCCAGTTCATGGATGAAGAAGTTACTTTTGAAGAGATTTAGAACCTTGTATAGGTAATACTAGCGTAGCTACCAAGTGGTGGAGTCTAAATTAGACCTGGGTCTTTTTTACTCTAGAGCTCATGCATACCTTGGTTATTATGCCTTATGTCTTAAAATTTCAAAGGGAGTATGTCAAGTTACTATTACATTATATAAAAGTAGGCTGAAATATATGTAGAAAACTAGATGGAAACATTCTGTTACTAAATTTCTTTTGACTGCCTTAAGGACCCTCTTTGTCCCCGCCTCCACTGAAAGGAAGTTGGTAATTGGACATTTGTCTAATGACCTCTGAAATTGTCCATTTTGTACTTTTTTTAAGTTTTAAGCACCATATGTAAAGCATATAGTATTATAGAGCCCACCAGTCCCACTTCCTAGAAGCCATTCCTTTTACCTCATTTAACTTTTTCTGGCATTTGCCTCCATATTTCTAAATTATATGCCCATATTGTTCTTTGTTTCATCCTATTTAAGAAAGATCTTTTAACTACTTGATATGACAAATGAGGATTTAGCTTATATTTACCAGCCTTCCACTTCTCTTCCAATATTATTATATAACTGTTTTAAATCTTTTTTATTACTTTTTTTTTAATAAATATATTTTATTGAGTTTTTACAAAGAGGAAGAGAGAGGATAGAAAGCTAGAAACATTGATCAGCTGCCTCCCACACACACCCCACTGGGGATATGCCCACAACCAAAGTACATGCCCTTGTCTGAAATCGAACCCAGGACCCCTCAGACCGCAGGCCGACACTCTATCCACTGAGCCACACCAGTCTCGGCCTTTCTTATTATTATACTTCTGTAAATGGAAGCACAGTTGCCTCTTAAATACACGGGGTCAGGGGTGTTGACCCTCATTCCCTGTGCGGTTGAAAAACTTATATAACACTTGACTCTCCAGAAACTTAACTACCATGCAGTCATTTCTCAGTATGCACTGGAGATAGTTCCATGACCCGCTGGGGATTCCAAAACTGCAGATGCTCAAGTACCTTATATAAAATGACATAGAACAACACATCTGCAGATTGAAAGTACTGTTATTTGTGGATGGGAAACCTGGGGGATACAGGGGCTAATGGACTCATAAATGGATCTATGCAGTTCAAACCTTGTTGTTCAAGGGTCAACTGCACTATGTTATTTTTTATTTTTTGACCGCTAACTCTAGACTTCCTGCTTTGTAAAATGAAGGTATTAACTTGTAAAATGAAGGTATTAACATCCTCTCCCATTAGTTTTCATCTGTTCCATTTTCCAGCTTCAGTGAACTATACTTACTGTTGTAAGGTTGATAATATTTACATTTCATTCTGTAATCATAATTGTCTTCCTTGTTTTAAAGGATGGAAATTAATAGATAAAGCTTACATTATATCTGTGTAAACATTTGTTCACTGAAAGGTCTATGTTAACTATGGATATATTAGAAATATTTGGCTTTTTTATAGAATTTCTTTTTTACCTGCAATTTTTGCCTTTTCATCCCCCACTCCCTGCCCACCCTCACCCCCGTCACTTCAGATATTCTGAATACATTTCCCCCCAAGGCCTTTCTGCCTAAACTCCATTCTCCTGCTCCAGTTTTAGGTCTCTAGATCTCATTTTAGGATTAGTCTTTACTGTTATTCTTAGATAAGCCCTCTATTTTGAAGATTTGTGTCTTTTTTTTTCTTGGTATTTTCTTATCTTGCTGGAGCACATCCTCAATAATTTTTTTTAAAGGTATTGCAAGAAAAATTTCTGAATCTTTATATCTAAAAATGTCTTTATTCTGTTTTCACATATGCTTTGATGGTTTGACTGGCTGAAGAGCATTTTCCCTCAGAGTTTAGAAGACATTTCTCCATTGTCTTTAGTGTTGTTGCTATGAAGTCTTTGCAAGATCCTTTGGGGATGACTGTTGTTTTTTTGTCTGTAAGCTTTTAGGGACATTACCCATGGTGTTCTGAAATGTTTACAATGATGTATCTAAATGGTTTTCATTCATTATGGGTTACTTGGTGTGCTCCTTCAGTCTAGATTGGTATTCTTCAAGTCCAGGACTTTCTCTCTTTTCCTTTATTTTCTCTCTATGGAACATTGATTAATCAGATGCTGAATCTCCTTAGGTTGATATTTAATGTGTCCTCTGTTATCTTAACCTTGATCCTTTCGGTTTGCTTTCTGGAAGATTTCAACTTTATCTCCCAGCTTCATTTCTTCATATTTTTATGTTTGACAGTCATATTTTAAATTTCTAAGATTTCTTTTTTGTTCTGTGTTCTCTTTTTTTATGGCAATCCTTTCTGATTTTATATAAAAAGGGAAGGAGGGGGATTTTTCTCTATTTCTTGAACATATAAAAGAATAGTTGTTGGTTTTTGTCAGATAATTATTGGCTTTAACTGTTCTGATTTTGTCTCTGGTGCCTGTTTTTTTCTTTTATCGGTCATTTGGTCCTATATCTTGGCTTGCCTGCTGATTTTTTTATTGAATGCTAAACATTGTATTTGAAAGTGTTGTGAGTCTCTAGATCAGTGGTTCTCAGCCTTTCTAATGCCGCAACCCTTTACTACAGTTCCTCATGTTGTAGTGACCCCCAACCATAAAATTATTTTTGTAGCTACTTCATAACTGTACTTTTGCTACTGTTAATGAATCGTAATGTAAATATGTGTGTTTTCTGATAGTCAAATATATGGTGACTAAAGGAGACTTGACTTTGTGTGATGGGCACACAGTGCAATACAAACCGATGAATTATGGAATTGTACACTTGAAACTTAATCTTTTTCTCTTTTAGGCATACAAAACCTTTGCTAATCGAGTGAACAATTTAAAGAAAAAACTGGATCAATTGAAATCAACCCTTCCTGATCCAGAAGAATCCCCAGTTCCTTCCCCAAGTATGGATGCTCCCTCCCCAACTGGTTCTGAGTCTCCTTTTCAAGGAATGGGAGGTGAGGAATCCCAATCACCAGCTGCGGAGAGTGAGAAATCTGCCACACCGGAGCCGGCAACAGATAATCGTGATGTGGAAGACATGGAACTCTCAGATGTAGAAGATGATGGGTCAAAAATTATTGGTATGTCCTTATGAGATTAGTAGGCAACTTGTTCCTTATCTGTTTTACTTTTCCACCAATAAATCTATCATAGGCAGATGTTAAAAGATAGTTTACCTCTGGCAGGGAAGCTCAGTTGGTTAGAGCATCATCCCAGTACACCAAGGTTGCAGGTTTGATCCCCCACAAGAATCAATGAATGCATACATAAGTGGAACAACAAATTGATCTCTCTCATAAATATCATTAGTAAAAGATAGAACACAAAAGTGTACCCAATAATAACATGCTTCTAGAAATGTACAAATTTAATACACAGATGCTAAGAAGATGCAAATAAATCATTAAAAATAAGATAAAGTAGCCCCAGCTGGTTTGGCCTTTGGACTGAAAGGTTTCAGACTCGATTCCGGCCAAGGGCACAGGCCCGGGTTGTGGGCTCAGTCTTCAGTATGGGCCTGTATGAGGCAGCCAATCAATGACTCTCATTGATGTTTCTCTCTCCCTTTCTCCCTTCCTCTCTGAAATCAATGAAAATATATTTTTTAGAACAAAAGATAAAGTATAAATTTGGGAAATTCCTTTTAAGCAGGTGTTGAAGTCAGGAAGGATCATAAATTATAAAGAGTGGGGCTTTTAAAGAAATCATGAAGTGAGTGGTTTTCTAATATAAAGCATAGTGCTTTTTACTTCCAAATCAGGAACTAGTAGGACATGCTGTTTCATACTGGAAGTAGAATCTGGATAGTAATAAGATGCACTAATGCTTGTTTTCTTTGTTTAAATAGTAGAGGACAGGAAGGAAAAGCCTGTGGAGAAGTCGGCTGTATCCACTTCTGTACCTACAAAGCCAACAGAAAGTATCTCAAAGGCCTCTTCGTGTACCCCAGTGCCTGTGACCATGACAGCAACCTCGCCTCTACCAAAGCCTGTGAATACTTCTCTTCTTTCCCCTTCTCCAGCATTGGCTTTGCCAAACTTGGCTAACGTGGATCTGGCAAAGATCAGTTCCATCCTTAGTAGCCTAACATCAGTCATGAAAAATACAGGTAAGCAAGCCCAGTAAAGAGGATAAAAGGCTCACTTGCATCGTTCTACTTGAACTTCAGTCTTTTTTCTGTTTAATTTTTAAAATTAAAATTTTTAAAATTTACCTAAAAGTGGTATCTATTTATCTCTATATATAAAAGCCTAAGTGATCATTAAAACCGAATAACCAGAACTGTTTGACCAGTCGCTATGATGCACACTGACCACTGAGGTGCAGACGCTCAATGCCAGGAGCTGCCCTCCAGGTGGTCACTGTGCTCCCACAATAAATAAATATAATTCTATCTCAAAGAAAATCACTTGTATATACCTTACCAAGTGTGTGTGTATCTGAATGTTTTGGGAGATTAAATCTTTATAATAATTGTTCTTTTAATAATTGAAGCATATTGCCTATACTGTTTTTGAAACCAGCTATTTAAAATTCTAACTATATAGTCTTTTATTACTTATTTAAGCCTATTAATTATTAGATATCCAGTATGTCTCCAATTTTTCACGAACAACCATGATGCTAAAATTTTATGCAGAACCCTTCCTATAAGCAGGGTTGATGCATATATAGGGCTTTTTTTTTTTTCTAATGGAAATTTTAATGAGTATGTAGAGCACCTCCACATACTCATCACTCATCTTCAATGATAAAAACACATGGCCTACCCAATCCTGATTATTTTGAAGGAAATCCCAATTATTTCATTTCTTCAAAAGTACTTAAATATATGATCTCTAAAAGATAGATTCTCTAAAAAATCATCACTTAGATTTTTTAAGTCTTTTCGTGTTATAATTACAATAATCTCCAAAAATGTCCTATTTATGTTTCAGGTACTATATAAAAGTCCCCGTTGTGCCGCAGCTTCTCCAAAACTATTTTGTTTTGTTTTAATCTTTATTAAATTCAGTCTTTAAAAGTCGTTTGTTTTAATTTGCATCCTTTTGATTAAAGATGTGGTTTAAATATTTTTCATTTGCTTATAATGTTTTGTGTGAAATACCTGTTCATATTTTTGATCATTAAAAAAAAATCAAAAATTATTTTATCTTTATATACTTTTTCCCTATATTAAAAATTGGTTCATTGTTTTAAAATATAAAAGTATAAAGGAGGTTGCTAATATCTCATTTTATAGACCATTTCAAAAGCAAAATCTTATTAATCATAAAATTATGCTGTGGCTGAGTTATACAATTGCATTGGCTCTGATCAGAATCAGTCAGCAATATTTGGGGGGCACCTACAGTACTCTGAGGTGTAGGTTTCATTTCATAGAGAAAAAAGAAATAGATTCCTTAGCCTCTTTCTGTTGGGGCTCTCAAAACGAAGGGAATTGCATATGAGAAAAACTTAATATTTGTTTATTTTAGGGGTGCTCCAGCTAGATGGAAGCAAATCTTCATCTAATTTTCAGATTTGGGGGGGCGGGTACAAGCCATGTTAAGGACCATTTGTGAATCAGTCATAGAAAATTTTTGAGTGGCAAGTATGGATTTAAAAGTCATTTTGAGTTGCATTTGCTTGAGTTAATCTTTCTGCCACCAGGGGTCAGTCCTGCATCAAGACCTTCACCAGGAACTCCTACAAGTCCTGGCAACCTCTCCAGTGGCCTGAAAACACCTGCCCCTGCCACGACAACATCTCACAACCCTCTGGCAAACATCCTCTCGAAAGTGGAAATCACCCCAGAGAGCATTCTGTCTGCTCTTTCCAAAACCCAGACCCAGTCAGCCCCTGCCCTGCAAGGTAAACGGACCTGCAGAGGGACTAGAACTGTCTGTGCTTGTCTCTGGGTTCCATTTCTGAGGGGGGAAAAAATCCAAAGCCATGAAATATATAACATAGTTGATTATTTTCTTTATATTTATCCTCTGTGAGCTGGCATTTGTAGTATTACGACGTATCAAAGATGAGACTTTAAATATCATCTAGTCTAATCCCCTCCTTTTCAGGTGAGGAAATTAAGGCTCAGTGAGGTGATGTGACTGCTTAAGGTCACACATCCACCTGTTCAATGATGAGCCAAGGCTAAAAGCCATATTTCTTGACTGGAGTCCGGTATTCTTTCACCTACACCATGACACCCTAGGGGCTGCATTTATCCCAGCTCTTAGTACGGGTTAGTATATGTTGAGGTTTACATATTTTAATGTTAACTGAAGCTGAAGACGTTAAAAAAGGTCAGTCTGCTATCAGATATCTTACAAGATATGACTGTCTCATTTATGTCCCAATGTTTATAGAGGCCTCTATTTATAGATATGTAGTGAATCTTTTTGGTTTTACTTATATATAATCTCTACCATATTTGAACCTCTCTTCAGTTTTGCTAATTGTCTGTGTTGGGCCTAAAACTGTTCACTTCTAACATTTTTTTTTTTTTTTCATAAACTTCCCTGCTCTCTATTCCCAGACCCTCCAGCTACCAACATAAGTATCTCAGTATAGTTATGCATTAATTACAAATACCAGAACAGTATCTTTTTAGTGATTTACTCTATATCACTAGATCTCAACCAGGGAACTCCAGGGGATATTTGCCTGTGCCCTAAAGGTGTTTGTTATAACTGGGGTGGGTAGAGATGCTGCTGCATCTAATGGATAAAGGCCAGGGTAGCAGCTGAACATTCTCCAGTTCACAGACAGCCCCCGCAATAAAGAATTAGCCAGCCCCAAATGCCAGTAGTACTGAGGTTGAGAAACTGCTTTATATGAATAGAGAACATTACAGGTATCAGTTTTATTTCCTAACTGTTCTGTAAGTGGACCAGCCAAGCACTATATTATAGTGAACTTTGTCTTAAGATATAGAAGAATGTTAATACATTGAACTAAATACAATTTTTAAAATATTTTTTATTGATTTTTTACAGAGAGGAAGGGAGAGGGATAGAGAGTTAGAAACATCGATGAGAGAGAATCATCGACTAGCTGCCTCTTGCACACCTCCTACTGGGGATGTGCCCGCAACCAAGGTACATGCCCTTGACCGGAATTGAACCCAGGACCCTTCAGTCCACAGACCGACGCTCTATCCACTGAGCCAAACCGGTTTCAGCTAAATACATTTTTTAAAATTGATTTTTAGAGAGGTAGGTTGAGGGAGGGAGGAAGAGAGACAGAAACATCGATGTGAGAGAAAAACATCAATCGGATGCTTTCCACATGTGCCCTGAATGAGGATCAAACCCGCAACCTGGGTATGTGCCAGATTGATGGGGAACCAAACCTGCTACCGATTGGTCTAAAGGACAATTCTAACCAACTGAGCCATACCAGCGAGGGCTGAACTAAATAGTACTAAATTCATATCCCCAATTCATAGACCAGCAAAAAATTAATGCTAATACTGCAGCACATCTTACACTACTAATTCAGAGATATTAGTTTTAGAGATTAGCATCATGTTTATGATTCTCCCTTCTAGCATATAATTATAGTAAAAATTTTTAACTCACTTGTTTTAGCTTCTTTTTTTTAGCTTCTTGGATATATCTTAAAGAAGAAGCTTTTCTCTTTTTTTTAATACACGTTTTTATTACAGCAATATACCAAATTCAGTAACAGTTCTTGTTAGTTGGCCAAAGTAGCAGACAACCCAGTCTCAGTGGCTTACCACAATACAAGTTAATATCTTGCTAACATTACATACACCTGCTGCAGCTGTTCTCAGGCTGGGAGTGCATCTTTTTTTTTTTTTTTTTTTTTTTAATTTCAGAGAGGAAGGAAGAGGGAGAGAGAGAGAAACATCTATGATGAGAGAGAATCATGGTGGATCGGCTGCCTTCTGCAGATCCCCCACTGGGGATTGAGCCCACCACCTGGGCATGTGCCTTTGACCAGAATTGAACCTGGGACTTTTCAGTTCGCAGGCCAACGCTCTATCCACTGAGCCAAACCGGCTAGGGCTGGGAGCGCATCTTGATGCCTCCCCTCCAAACAGTGATTCAGAGACCCAGGCTCCTTACATCTTGTGACTTTTCTCTAGTACACATGTGTCAAACACAAGGCCCGCGGGCCAAATCCGTCCCTCCAGGCCTTGCAATGTGGCCCGCACCGCGCTGTCATCACTGCACTCCGCTGTGTTTCCATCACAATGACAGTTTATGACTGTTCAGTAAACCATTCGGCCCGCGATTTAGGCTGGATTTTAGATTTTGGCCCCTTCTCTGATTGAGTTCGACACCCCTACTCTAGTATGTGGCTGCCCTAGGGATGGGCTCCATTCCAGCCAGACAGCCAGGGGCCGAGCAGGGGGAGCCATGAGGGGAGGTGTATGAGCCAGGCTGCAGGTGGGGAGCTCCACCCTCATCCCGTGGCTCACGTTCAGCTTTACAGCCACGTCTCACTGCAGAGGAGGTGGGGGATGTAATTCAGCTCTGCAATCATGATCTGGGCCAGGCTCTTCTGCCGTGTCACCCTCCGAGGTCCGGAGGCTGCAAACCAGCTTTCTGAGAAGGGGAAATGGCAAGGGAGGGATGCTGTTCTGTCCTGGTCTCCAGTCTCCCCGTCTCTGTCCCATTGCGGTTCGCTGTCTTTTCCCAGAGGGTGAGGTCCTCGTCTCCAACCTTTGATGATGGGAGTAGAAGTCTCATAATATCCTGAAGAAAAGGATTTTCTAAGTCTCGCACGGGAAAATGAGTGATTTTTTTATTTGCATGGAATTAATTTTTTTAATTTCAAGGTTCCATTTTCCTTAGTCCAGTCATAGGAGATGTGTAGCTGGGGGTTCAGCAGAGCTAAAATCAGAGCCAGTGTCCAGTTTCCTTTCCATGTTAGAGCCGAGTCTAGTCCAGCATCAGCTAGCTTAGCTCTTTCCTTCTACAGTCTATCAGTCCATTGCATGCGGCGTCTACATGGCTGTACAGGCAAATGCAAGAGGAACAAGAATAGCTTTGGGCACACACACCCCACTCTCCCACCCCCAGAAATTATTGCAACAGGATTATGTGGGCTTTCTCATCAGGCAAAATGTGAGCAGAACTAGGTGTGTTCTGACAAAACGAGAAGTGGAAATCCCAGAAAACAACGTTTGTGCAATAACAGGGCAGTTCATCGCCTTTCATTTCTTTAGAGAGAGTGGAATTCTCCTTAAGACAACTGTGCCCAGCAACTTAAATAGATGTGTTTCTTTAAAGACTCTAAAGAAAATCTCTCAGAACTTTGCTCTGATTGTGTCACTCATAGCCCTCATTGGCATATTTTCAACACAAAAGAATGACTTCTGTGGGCAAAGGGCTGTAGAGCAAGCATGTCAAACTTGTGGCTGGTGGGCTGTGAGTCTGACATGCCTGCTATAGAGTATGGCTTGTTAAGATGGAAGAAAAGTGCCCTGGCCAGTGTTGCTCAGTTGTTAGAGCATCAGATTGCACACCCAAGGGTGGCGGGTTCGATATTGGTCAAAGGCACGTAACTGGGTTGTCCATTCCTCAGATCAGGGCACACTCGGGAGACAACCAATTGATGTGTCTCTTTCACATCAATATTTCTTTCTCCCCCATTCCCTCCTTCCACTTTGGAAAAGCAATGGAAAAAATATCCTCAGGTGAGTATTAAAAAAAAGATTGAAGAAAAGTAATATTTAGTGGTACAAAACTGTTTCACCTATTGCCAGAAATCTGAATAGTGTGTGTGTGTGTGTGTGTGTGTGTGTGTGTGTGTGTGTGTATATATATATATATATATATATATATATATATTATTTCTTGTTTTTTTGTGTGATTGTTTTGTTTGTAATTTGATAATCCTCACCCAAGGGTATTTTTCAGATTCAAATCTTATCCCCAGTCAGGGTATGTAGGGGAGACAACCAGTCAGTGTGTCTCTCTCACATTGATGTTTAATCCCACTATCTCTCTCCCCTTTTCTTCCCTCCCACTCTCTCTAAAAAATCAATGTGGGGAGAGAAAGAGGGGTCAATGGGGAAAATAAGGGAGCATATGTAATATTTTGAACAATAAAGAATTATTTTTTTAAAAAGAATTTTTAAAATGGAGAAAATGTCCTCAGGTGAGGATTAATTTAAAAAAAAATTCTTCAGACCTTAAATCTCTTAGCAAATATGGATTAAAATTAAAAATTTGAAGAAACATTAATTGAAGTATTATAAAGTATTTTCTTTCACTCTGTCATTATGAAGAAGCCATTTTAGTGTATAACTAAAAGCTATAAGTTTGGGTAGAATATATATAGGTTTTCATTTATGACTAGAAAGTGGGTATAATTTCTAAAATAGGATTTTAATGTATAGGAAATGTTATCTTCTTTTTGTCATGTTTTTCTAAAAAAAAAACAAAAAAAAAAAAACTTCTACAGGAGCAGTTTGCTTTGGTGGACTTCAGTCTTTACCCAAAAAATTTTATTTCATGGCTTCTGAGAAGTTTTTGTCTATCATTAAGTAGGGTTGAATCTTACCACTATCAACAGTAATCCTTGAGTTCCCCCACTATAAGGTGGGGGGGGAAGGGGACACATGACGTGTTTTCTTGTGAAAGGATCAGAGCCTTTGATGATCTAGTTTGTGGTGTATGTTTATATGTTTATTATTGCTACATTTTACAACCAAAAATGATAGCTTAGTGCAGTGGTCGCCAACTGGTGATCTGTGGACCACTGGTGGTCCATGAAGTCCGAAGGGTTGGCGACCATTGACTTAGAGCACATGTGTCAAACACAAGGCCCGCGGGCCAAATCCGTCCCGCCAGGCCTTGCAATGTGGCCCGCACCGCGCTGTCATCACTGCACTCCGCTGCGTTTCCATCACAATGACAGTTTATGACTGTTCAGTAAACCATTCGGCCCGCGATTTAGGCTGGATTTTAGATTTTGGCCCCTTCTCTGATTGAGTTCGACACCCCTAACTTAGAGCATTGTTTCCCAAAAATGATAGCAAAAGGAGCTTCTTTTAAAAAGCGCCCTGGTTCAAATATATTTCTGCAGTTTGCATATGTTCTCTCTCTCTCTCTCTCTCTCTCTCTCTCTCTCTCTCTCTCTCTCATAACAATGAGCATTAACTTACTAGAGATAATCATGGAGGTTGGAAACGAAGGACAGAATATCTATTTAGATAGTGATGGCCAAAGGGAAGGTGCACAGGCTGGGTGGAGGTGGGCAAAGGAAGGGGAAATGGGGACATCTGTAACAGCGTCAACAATAAAAATACATTTTAAAATATATCTATTTAGAGAAACAGTTCCACAGATCAAACATTAAGAAATACTGACTTGCCCTGGTCAGTGTTTCTCATTGATTAGAGTGTCGGCCCAAGCATGGAAGAGTCTGGTTTGATTCTGATCAAGCGCACATACCTGGGTTGCAGGTTCGATCTCCAGGCCCCAGTCTGGATGTGTGCGGGAGGCAATTAATTTGTCTCTCTCACATTGTTGTTTCCCTCCCTCCCTCCCTCCCCCCTCCTCCCTCCTCTTTTCCCCCTCAATCTTCCCCTCCTTCCTTCCCAACCACTCTCTAAAAATCAATTGGAAAAATATCCTCGGGTGAGGATTAACAAAAGAAAAAGAAAGAAGTACTGGCTTAAAGTGTTATTTTAAAAATGATTTTGCTTCCTTTCTTTTCATGCTTTGTCTTGTTTTAACTATGAATAATTCTGACACGAAAATCTACCCCTTCCTGTTGCCTTTTATTGTGCCATGTTGGACATGCTTCATGACTGTACTAGAAACATTTCTGTGATTTTCTCTCTTTATATTGGCAAATAAGTCCAGTGTTTTTTGTGACATTTAGCAGCAATGCTTGTTTGGTCAGGATTTCCTTTGGCCTCACATTGTAATGTCTATCTGGTTCCCACTGGAATGAAAGAGAATAGCCGATTAGCCTAAATTGTGTTTATTGTAAGGTAGGGAGTTGTTCTTTCTAACTCCTCTGATCTCTGCTTCCACAGGCCTATCATCTTTGCTTCAGAGTGTTACTGGGAACCCCGCTCCAGCCAGTGACGCTGCATCCCAGAGCACCTCGGCTTCCCCTGCCAACACCACTACAGGGTCTAACGTAAAAGGAAGAAATCTGCCCTCCAATACCCAGTCCTTCATTCCCAAGAGCTTCAGCTATTCTCCTAACTCGTCGGCATCTGAAGTCTCTTCAACTTCAGTCAGCAAGGCCCCCATCGGGCAAAGCCCAGGGCTTCCAAGCACTACGTTCAAGCTGCCGTCCACCTCTCTGGGGTTCACAGGCGCCCACAACAACAGCCCTGCTGCCCCGCCTCCTGAAGTTGCCATGTGCCAATCTTCAGAGATCTCCAAGCCAAAGCTGGAGTCCGAGTCCACCTCCCCAAGCCTGGAAATGAAGATCCATAACTTCTTAAAAGGTAATCCTGGTTTCAGTGGCTTAAACTTAAACATCCCAATCCTGAGCAGTCTGGGGTCCAGTGCCCCATCAGAAAGCCATCCCGCAGACTTCCAGCGTGGCCCTACTAGCACTTCAGTGGACAACATTGACGGAACCCCTGTGCGGGATGAACGCAGTGGGACGCCCACCCAGGATGAGATGATGGACAAGCCCACGTCCAGCAGTGTAGATACCATGTCCCTGCTCTCTAAGATCATTAGCCCTGGTTCTTCCACACCCAGCAGTACGAGATCACCACCCCCGGGGCGAGAGGAAAGCTACCACCGCGACCTCTCCAATTCTGTACCGACATTTCGACCCTTTGGCCTGGCCAGTGAACCGCCCTATAAGCAGCCTTCTGATGGAATGGAGAGACCATCTTCCCTGATGGACTCTTCCCAGGAGAAGTTCTATCCAGATACTTCTTTCCACGAAGATGAGGATTATCGAGATTTTGAGTACTCAGCACCTCCACCCTCTGCCATGATGAACCTAGAGAAGAAACCAGCCAAGTCTATCCTGAAGTCCAGCAAGCTTTCCGAGACCGCCGACTACCAGCCGATCCTGTCCAGTTACAGCCACAGGGCCCAAGAATTCGGGGTAAAGTCTGCCTTCCCTCCAGCTGTAAGGGCCCTCCTGGACTCTAGTGAGAACTGTGACCTCCTCTCACCTTCCCCTGGGCTGTTTGGTGCCTTCAGCATTAGAGGGAGTGAACCTGGGTCTAACCGGTCACCATCACCGAGTAAGAACGATTCCTTTTTCACCCCCGACTCCAACCACAATAGCTTGTCTCAGCCTGCGGCTGGGCACCTCAGTTTGCAGCAGAAGCAGTACCCAGACTCTCCTCACCCGGTCCCACAGCGTTCCCTTTTCTCTCCGCAGAACACCCTTGCTGCTCCCACGGGCCTCCCGCCCGCATCGGGCGTGGAGAAAGTCCTGGCCGCCACCATTTCCACCACGTCGACGATTGAGTTTAAGAACATGCTTAAAAACGCCTCCCGAAAGCCCTCGGACGATAAGCATTTTGCCCAGGCCCCCGGCAAGGGCTCCTCCGGTGACGGGGCCAGTCTCTCAAACCTCCCGCAGCCCAGCCTGCCGGCCCCGGAGCAGCAGCAAGAAGAGCACTACCACCGCATCGAGACGCGCGTGTCCTCCTCCTGCCTGGACCTGCCGGACAGCACGGAAGAGAAGGGGGCCCCCATAGAAACCCTGGGTTACCGTAACGCAGCCACCAGGAGGATGTCCGGGGAGCCCATCCAGACCGTAGAGTCCGTCCGCGTTCCTGGGAAGGGGAATAGAGGACACGGGCGCGAGGCCTCCAGGGTGGGCTGGTTTGACCTGAGCTCCTCGGGCAGCTCTTTTGACAACGGCCCCTCCAGCGCCTCCGACTTGGCGTCCCTTGGGGGTGGGGGCAGCGGAGGCCTCGCTGGCTTTAAAGCAGCACCGTACAAGGATCGGGCACCCCCGTTTCAGGAAAGTGTCGGCAGCTTTCGCTCCAACAGTTTCAACTCGACATTTGAGCATCATCTCCCCCCGTCCCCCTTGGAACACGGGGCGCCCTTCCAGAGGGAGCCCGTGGGGCCGGCCGCCGCCCCGCCCGCCCCTCCCAAGGATCGCGGTGGTGTCTTCTCCCGAGATGCAGCCACTCACCTGCCCTCTGTGGATCTCTCGAACCCCTTCACCAAGGAGGCCGCCTTGGCCCATGCCGCCCCGCCCCCCCCTCCTGGAGAGCTCGGCGGAGTTCCTTTCCCCACCCCGCCCCCTGCAGCCCCCGGGGAGCACAGCAGCAGCGGTGGGGGTGGTGTCCCCTTTTCCACTCCCCCCCCTCCGCCCCCTGGTGACCACTCGGGGGTGGTGCCCTTCCCAGCCCCCCCACTGGCAGAGCACGGAGCGGCAGGAGCAGTGGCAGTGTTTCCCAAGGACCATAGTTCTCTCCTTCAAGGGGCCTTGGCTGATCATTTTGGGGTGCTCCCAGGACCCAGGGACCATGGGGGCCCCACCCAACGGGACCTCAACGGCCCTGGCCTTAGCCGTGTGCGGGAGGGCCTGAGCCTGCCCTCGCACTCCCTGGAGCACCTGGGCCCGGCCCACGGCGGCGGTGGGGGAGGCAGCAACAGCAGCGGCGGCCTCCCCTTGGGCCCCTCACACAGAGACATCATCAACCGGAGCGGTCTGGTTTTGCGGAACCCCCGGCCAGACTTCCGGCCTAGGGAGCCTTTTCTCGGCAGAGACCCGTTCCACAGTTTAAAGAGACCCAGGCCGCCTTTTGTTAGGGGCCCTCCGTTCTTTGCACCAAAACGCCCGTTCTTCCCTCCCAGGTACTGACGGAGACCAAGGGAAAGGCATTCGGAACAGTCTAGAGAGCGTTGGAAGTAGGAGTTTGGTTTATTGTTGTTTGTTTTCCCTCCTTTGATTTATTTCTCTATGACCAAGGGCCTCCCTTCCAGAGTGAAAAGTCATACATATATGCTTACATTTCACTGTCCCACCCAGGCCTCCCGCCCACTGCACTTACCCACCTTCCCCGCGTTGTCCTTATCTTAGGGGGGTGGAGGGGAGCAGGCAAAGAGACACAACCAAAGCCAGCTCCTTTGGCTGGGAGCTTGAGGGACGGGGAGGAAGACAAATATTACCCCATCTATTGAAGAGTATTCTTGCATTTGAAATAAAACTTCCACCAGTACAGATGATAATGTGCAATGTTGGGATGTTGTTTTGAGTTTGGCTTATCAGTAGTCCATGGAAGGGTTCCTGCCCCCTTCTCTCTCCAGCTACCTTCACTGCTGTCCCCAGTTTGGCCCCCTTCCCTGTGTCTGCCCTGCTGACAGCCAGAGGTGGTGCAAGGGAGGAGATGCAGAGTCTCGGAGCTGTCACGCTGTTGTTGTTTTGTTTGTTCCGAAAGGCATGTGGAAGTTGAGCACTTTACCTTTCTCCTCAAATCTTACCAACAACACAGCCTCCTCTTCCAAAGCACCAGCAGGCCTCACTGAGATCTCCTGTCCTGGGAACATTTTTCCTCTTTGTTTTTGGAATGAAAGAGAGCAGGCTGAATATATTTTGAGGTTAAAATTCGGAATAATTATAATTACAGTAGTTAGAGAAAGAAACTCTAGCAGTGTGTTGTGACCTGCCATCCTTCATAAACGAGAGAGAATGGGAAATGTTTTTTGAGAAGTTTCCCTCATACCCAGCTCTTCTGCTTTTCTTTCTTGGCTCTCTCTCAGCTTTCGCTTCTGCTGCGGCCAGAAAGCTGCTCCCGTTGACAGTTGTTACAAAGGTGGAACTACTGTTGTCTCTGTTTTAATGTAATTAGTAGACATTGTTACCATGGCGCCTCCCTAGCATAGGTGGCATTTGTTGGCAATTTCAGCAAAGGTTAACTACCAGGGAAAGGCAATTCATTGTCTTTATCTTTTCTTTCCCCTCGCCTGTATTCACCCCATTCTTGGTGTTTATTTCACAGAAGGTTCAATAGCATCTTTCTTTCCATTACACCTCTTCAGATGTGTCCTACTAACAAGTGAGTATTACTAGACATTTTTTACAGAAGAAACTGGAGAACATGAGAAATCCAAATTTACCCACTCCATACTAGCTGCCCATCACTTATCAAGGCTCAAGCCTTCTCCTCACTTCCCACTCGCAGTAGGAAATCAAGGATGTTTCTGCTCTTCTTAGTCATGTCACATAGGAAACTCTCTTCCCCCCAAACTGAAAGGCTTGTGTGTGTTCACGGAGAGTACTGGGGAAAGACAATCGCCGCACTTTGAGTGTTTATATCTTTATATTTTAGGGACATTGAAAAGCAAATGTTGTGTTTCTATTTTTTATTTAGTGTCTTGTCCTAAGGTACACACACGGGTAAACTCCAGCTAGATGAGTAAAATAATCTGAGTTGAGTGCTGTAGGGAATCCGGGTAAGTTTTCTATGTTATCCCGGGTTAGTATGGAACCACGGGAAGTGTGGGATTGCTTTGGATTCCTGCAGTGAAATACTAAAGGCGGGAGAGAGGACAATGGAGTGACAGAAGGCGATGCTTTGTCTCAAAATAAACTTGCTTTTCAGATAAAGAGCAGCTTACACCGGGTGTGTGTCAGAGGCTGGGAGCTCTCTGTAAGTTATTCCATGTTATTTGGGCTCGCTGTGTGTACTGGGGTTAGGATGCTGCCAGGCATTCATCTATCTCCCTGATGCATTTCTGGTCCTGGGCCAACTAACTTCGTTCTTCCTTTAACCCTCTCAAGCCTCTGCCCTGTGGCTCTCCCACACACACAAATGCATGATACCATGACCTTGAATGTGGGATGGGGTATATAGTGTAGCAAAGCAAAGAAACAGTATCGTTCCATTGAGTCCGCAGACATTTGTTTAGGAACATGTATAAGTAGGCAGTGAGGGTGGGGTGGGGGAGTTCTATGTGATTCAACTGAAGTACAATTTTATTTTTATTTTTATTTTTTGCAGAAATTAAGGGGGATGTATTCACTCTAAAACAAAAGAATGTGAATTCTTTCTTGCTGCTCTTGTTTAAACTAAAAGTAGTGTTTACTTGAAAAGGCTCTCTGACCTTTTGGTTTTATAAGAAAATACGGGGATGTCAGGAAAGTGGCCTCCTGAACGCTGAGGCAGAATAATTGTCCTCAGAAGTATGATGGCTAATCCATGAAAGGAAGACCTTGTACCGCTTTAAAGATGGACTTTTAAGGGCTGGCTTTCTTTTGTGGGCTGTTTTGTTTTTTAAGCCACAAAATCTTCCAAGCGCCTGTTTCAGGACGGGAGGGAGGATTTGTGTGGCTTTGAGCTGTTCACTCTAAGGAACTCTGTCCACAGCAGTAAATGAAGACGACAATGTACATATGTGATATAGTGACACAAAAGACAAGACAATTCTGGTATTCATAACATGAAACAAAGGGGTTTTATTCTTTCTGTGTCTGTGATTTCAAGCTCCGTGCCCATGCTCTGACTTTTGTATTTCAACCTGAGTTTAAAAAAATAAACAAGGTATTTTTTAAAGAAAGCATAACATAGTGTGTCTTGGAAAGGACATGATTCACGTGAGAGCAGAATGTGCGAAGTTGTCGCTGAGGTCCTTGGTGCTCACTGTAAAATCACAGACAGAGAATTGGCGGGGTTTGTGAATTCACTGGTTCCACCGAAATCTCATACCACGTCAGAAACGAGAGTCCTTACGTAGTTTGTACGTTCACTCGGTGAGCTCAGAGGGAAGCTCTCCCTACTCCTGCCTCCCACATGTGGAGAGGAAGCAGAATTGGTCTGATTCCAGGGAGGGTAAAATGATCAGAGTGTAGGACTTCTATACTTTCCAATCCCAGGGATACAATGTTTGTGATATATATGGTACAGCAAACCTATCTAGATAATGTGAATATGCTAAACTTCCTAACTGCAGAATATTCACTATTTCCTGAAATTACTGGTTCATGCAGAATTAAGCTTCAGCTGTTAATTGTTTTGAAGCCGCTGTAAATTACTGCTTTTCCTTTTTCCTCCCCTCCTCCCCCCTTTTTTTTTTGAATGGGCAGGGGTGCCTGTTAAAATTAGATATGTTCTATTGATATTCTCACGTGTTCAGTGTGGAAAACAAAACAAGTACATGCTTTAGAGGCAACAACATTGAAATCCTTTTGAAATGTGTATTACCACTTAATAAAATAACTAGTTCTCAAGGTTTGACATTTTTCTTTGAGATTTGGGGCTTTAACCAAGGGCCCTGGCTTCTCTGGTGAGAGCAGAGTAGGAAGCTTCTCCAGGAGCTGAGCTTGCTGCTTCGTGGCGGCGGCCTTCCTTGGACTATCGTCTTTTTCTCCAGCAAAGACGCTACATGACGTCCAGGGCTGAAGGTGAAACCAACCACAGAATGCAAAGAGAAAAGCCCGGATACATCTCTGAAGATCTGCTCGGATTGGCTCTGGTCTGAGTGTGGGGAAAGGGATGGTGGGTGTGTCTGCACACACCGCAGACCACCATCTCGTCCCTCCCTGTGACCATGCGCACCTTCCTCTTCCAGCCATTCCTTTCTTTTTTTAAGTCTGTGTGTCTCCGATACTGTGTTTGTTTTCCAGTTTAATAAAGTGTGGTTTCTTTGTGGTGTGGTGGCTCTTCCCCTCACATTGATCTTGTCCAGCTGTCCCGTTTGACTCCTGCACTCGGTGTGTCTGAGGCAGTTGGACTCTCTAAGGAACTCATGCCGTGTGGGTTTGTTTGTTCCTTTGTGTAATTCCGTTTTGGAAAGGGATTTTGGGTGGGGTGGGATCAAAGATGTTCAGGGAGTGGCTGGTGGTGAAGTGGGCTATACTGTATGGCTAATTATTTGTGTATGTCTCCACATGTACAGTTGTGAGCAAAGAAGCATTTTTAAAGCAAGCTTAGAATTTGGGGAGGTGACAGAGGTCCCCTGGCCACTTCTGTGCCCGCATCTACCCTTTTCTGCTGCATATTGGCAATCTGTCAAACCACACAACCCTTCTCTCGCCCCATCCCTTTTCCATGACCCACAGAGGCTTAAGGAATGGAATGTGTGCACTCCAGGGTAGAGAGAGACACAGGCATCTCGGTCAGGCCTGGGTCACTGGCAGGATGGATGCTCTAAATAGCAGCCTTGGTGATGTGAAGCTGCACACGTCACCAGGAATGCAGCACGCCCAGCGGGTAGGGTGAACCGCTGGCCTGACTGCCTCAGCCGCTGGGGTCTGGGTCACCCTTTCTTCCTTGTCCCCTCGGGACCTGGACTTGCCCACCTGATTCTTGTCTCCACCCTTCCTCATCGGCCTTTCCGGGCATGTTGGAAATGGATCTTTCCCCTGAATTGGGATTAGGCGAGTCTGGCACAGGAGGGATGAGTGACTCCTGCATGTACATAGATACAGTGACACAAACGCCATCCGCATGGATTTAGGGTACTGGGTGTTTCTCATACTTGTTTATGAGTAACTGTATAGACAAGTCGGGTCAGCTGCTGCTTGCAATTGCTGAGTAATAACTCACAGGCCTCCTAGACAAAGCTGCTGAGGGGACATGAGTGAGCCTGGGCTCCTAAGTAAACATCCTGCTACCCCCCACGTAGAAGGAAAAACTGCATGCGTCAGGTTAAAAGAGCAAGTCAAGTGCAATATAAAACCATCCGATTCTGACTGCCAGGGGGGGAGAGGGGGGACAGGAGGAACCTCTTAGGTTTAGTTATGTGTCAGAGGAAGGGGTTACAAAGGCTGGATCTATGTAAAAACTGACACTTCAGTTACCTTACGGTTCCCTTATTTTCTCCTTTCCCTTTGTGCTCACTGGGGCAAGAATCAAAAGTTGAGAATACAGATGTAGGTGGCAGGGCTAGTGAGCAGTGCCAACAGAGAACACCATTCAGGCCTCTATTTTTTGTGTTTGACTCAAAGGGGTGTTGGCTAAACCAGTCCACCCCGGACCTGTTGGGGTTCATAGCAAATTCAATGTTCCAGCAACTTCACTTCCTTGTTTTTCTTATTACTTCCTTATATTTCTCCTTATGTGTTTTCTAAACCTCACCGAAGGATATGTTTACTGATTTGAGGAAGAGAGAGAGAAATATCGATGTGAGAGAGAAACAGATTGGTTGCCTCTCATACCCATTCCGACCAGGGATTGAACCCATAACCTAGGTATGTGCCCTGACCAGAAATCAACACCAAAATATTTTGGTGCACCTGACCAGGGCTCCCTGCCTCCCTCTCCCCCACCCTTTTTTTTTTTTAACATGTGAGAGGAATGGAGAGGGATAGAGAAACTTCGATGAGAGAGGAACATTGATTGGCTGCCTCCTGCATGGCTCCCACTGGGGATTGAATCCACTGAGCCAACCTGGCCAGGGCAAGGACTCCTCCCCTTATTTTTGAGAATTACTTTGCTGCATAATTTGTGGAAGAGATGAGGACTTGAGACTCCTTACGTTTGTCTTGGGGTGATTCGGTTGAAATGCATGGAGAGAAGGGAGGTGGGTGGCACCCTGTGCTTCAGTTTGCCCTCCCTGGCTACAATCCTTTGCACCTACATGGGACAGTGCAGGTCCCACATCTAGGCAGCCAGGCATTGCCAAAGGCAGTAGAGACTGGGAAAGGATGAGTTTGAAATGTTGGTTATTGGGTAGTGGGCCTTAATTGCCTTCTGTAGCTGTATCTAGGACCTTCTTTTGGAGCAGTTTGCTCTCTCCTTTATTTTTTACCTCAGCATCGAACCTAAGTTGGCATCCCTGCGCTGGTTCCTGTGTTTGGGAGACTTCCGTTTTTCCCTTGGAGGGTCGTTTAAAAGGTGGGGGTAGAGGTGGCTGTTTCCTTGTTTCTCTTCAATAGACTCAGGCGATGTCTTGGGGAAAGGGAACTAGAGGTTTTAGGTGCACCCAAGGCTTTGTTTTCAAAGCCAAGTTTAATTTATTTCCATGCTCCTAATAGGAAGCTTTCCCCCCTTTATTTACTCTGCAAATTCGGTTGAACTTTTTCTCTCTTCATGGCACCTTAAGCTAATGTTAAAGTAAAAAGCCTGGCCCCATCCTAGATCTTTGTTACTAAGGGGAAAGGATTTTTACTAAACCAAAGCTCCCACACCACCTGCTGTACCTTGAGCTACGTGGCTAATTGGGTGAGCCTCAAAAGCATTTGATGGCAATGATATAAATTTTTATGCATTTTGTCTTCTTAAATTTATCTTTTTTACCTCCAATATCTTTTCTGTCTCTGATACAGGGAAATTTTGCTTCTAAGAGCTAAGATATATTTGGAGGAATGTTTTGATCTGTTGGCATGGAAAATGGATTCTACCTTCAGCGGAGAGCAGTCTTATATAAGATTATAACAACAAAACCACCTCAAAGCTTTAGCTAACTTTAAAATGCCTATTTTAAAAGTGAAGTAAACAGAATCTCCCAAAACTTAAGGGTCTAGGATTCCCCTAACTGAGGATTCCCTTTTCCCTAGACTTCTGTGAAACCTGGCATTATTTCCTGAACACTTCTTTTTCCTTATTTTTAGTCTGCTAGAAAAAAAAATTGGTAAGATGCCTCTTTTCTTGGCTTTTTATTGGACTCCTCTCTCCAACTTATAGATTAAAACCTTTTGGGCCCCAAACGCTCCAAGCAGTGTACCTGGAGAGTGAGCAGAGCTGTGCCACCAAACGTGATGCATTCTGACTATTTTGTGTGTGAGAGGCAGCAGAGCATGGCATAGTGTACACTGGCTTTGGATTTAGAGATTGGGACTTCTCTGAGGGTAATTTTCCATGTTATAAAGGTACATAGAAGGGCTACTACTTGTCAGGGTTTTTTGTTTGTTTTTGTAGGAATTAAGATAGTGAATACAAGCACTTGGCACATAGTAGGTGTTCAGAGATACTCCAAATAGAAGAGCAGTTTTAGGGATGCTTCACAGACAGACTAACTGGTTAAAATTCCCTGAGACTGAGACATAGCAGGCACAATTCAGAAATTGTAGCAGAACCAGCGATTAATGCATTGGCCTTAGCTAGCTTGCTTTTGCTAGCTTGCTTACTCCAGAGGGAGAAATGGAATAACTTGAAATTCATTCCTTCCTTCGTTGCAGCACAGGTTATATAGGCGATGATGTAGTCGTTGATTGATCAGCATCCCCTGACCACACAGCTCAGTGCATTGCACGTAGTGAGTAGCCAGTAAATGTTTGAGGGGTGAGTATAGGAAGCTGCCACGATAATGGAACTTACTTATTCCACCATCCCTCTGCCCTCCACACAAAAAGGACAAGGTAGAATGGTTAAAAAAATGTGTGTCAGTATAAGTATCCTTTGGAGTTTCAACTCAATACTAGCACAATGATTGGTACACTGTTAATTCAGTAATTTATTGAGCACCTGCAATGTAACACTCCTGTACCTTTTGGGGCGGAGCTATGGAAAGAATTCTGCCTCTTGTCACACTTTGTGAATGCCACTTAAAAATCCTCACTACCTTTCCCAGACACACACACACGATATCCCTTTTCCACAGTCTTATTTCTTTTTGTATTTCAGAGTGTCTAACGTGTAAGAAGATGGAGCCAAGATCTAGAATGGTGCCTGTGACTCAGATCAACTGCTATCTTTCCCAGACAGAACCTCTGGCCTCCGGAAATCTACATTAATCACCATTTTCTGACAGCTCTTCCTCCTCAGTGCTTGATTCCATCACCGCTGGGATCTTGAACAACAACTCCACCCACCCCCACCCCCAGGTGAGGGCACTCATGGGAATCACGGAGAACCTCATAGCTGACTCCATTTTCCCTCTCACTTTACTAAAATCTGATTGAGGTTTTGTTTTTACTGTGCAAGATAAAACAAACACACCCAGTCCTTTATCCTAGATATAGTATGCAAAGGGAAAAGAAGGCTAAAGGAAGTTGAGAGAATGGAGATGAGAGCCAAGATTCTGGGTCAGGCACCTCTTTCTGAAGTAAGTGGTAGGAAAGTACAAGACTTGGGTTAAATCCAGCATTAGCACTTAATCGTTTGACTTTAAATCACTTACCTTCTCTGAATTTAAAATCTATAAGATTTAGAGGTGTCCTAAGTCCCTCTTAAGCATGAGTATAAAGGAACTCAAGGAAGTGCCCTCTGCAGATTTTCTGCTCCAGCTCTTAAAGCTGTTATATTACCTTATTCTAATGGTTTGTCCGTATGTTGCCCATTCCTTATACCATGCAGTATATTAAATGATTTACATAAAACAAACTTAAACAATTGGGAGCAATACTATTCCCATCTCATAGACGAGCGAACGGAAGCATAGAAAAATAAATTCTCCAGATTTACATAGTGAATGGCAAGCAGATCCAGGATTTACACTAGGTCCGTTTGGTTTCAAGTTGTTTCCTACTTGCTAGTAAAGACTGTGTAAAAAATATATACGGTTACATGGAAATTACTGACTGCCCTTTCTTGTCCCTTTTCCTCCCACTCTCACTCCAGAGTTTTCTTGCTCCTGTCCTCAAACCCGCAGGAGCTCTTACTGCTACTCTGGGCTGAAACTGCCGGTGTAACCGCGTAAGTCTTCCCTTCGGCCGGAACCACCCACGTCGCGGCTGTTGCTGTGTGGGGTGTACGTACGCCGTCTC